CAATGATCATCAAATACTAAGTAACCCAATGATCATCAAATACTAAGTAACCTAACGATCATTAAACAATAAGTAATCTAATGAAAGCGTAAACGTTGTTTCCAGGGCCGTGAAAGCATTTCAGCAGGTGCTATGGGTGGAACCAGGATTTCCACGAGCCTGCGAGGTTCACCTACGACTCGGCTTGATGCTGAAGGTCCATGCTGACTTTGATGCCGCTTTGAAGCACCTGACACTCGCCCTGATCGATGCTACGACACCTGCCTCCTTCTCCAAGCTCGAAAGTGAGTCTCAGTTTTCGCCTACACAACGGTACTGTTCACGAGACAGAAAAAAAGAAATATATGCGAACAGCTGTCAACCGTAAACCGTTTTTACATGGAAATTTTACTCCTGTACCACATGTTGCTTCGTTCGACTTTCTTCGTACGCTTCGATTTCGTCGAATATTCCATTGATTTTTATCGACAAATTGCTCCTTATTATTTCATATCTATGAGAGATTTAAAATGCTGATTTCTAAAGAGAACTTTCAATTTTTAATGTGTAAAGCTTGTCGATAGTTGCTGAATTAATCAGAACTAAACACTGAATTAATCACTCAAAATCAATAATTTGTCTGAAGTGCTTTTGAAGTCTCCCTTGTAAAAGGAATTCCAAATTTCACGTTGTAAAGTTTTGCAAAAGGGTGTAAGAGATCGAAGTCGAATATTTGCAGGTAACAGCGGAGAAAATAATCCCGTAGGTTTTGCGTGCGCACTTTTAATGAATTATTTAGCGAGCCACGTTGAAATCGATACTTCCGCCGCGTGAGAAGCCCCTATTACATAGCTGCGCGGCCACGTCTTAACATCTCGTCCCCCGATCTTGTGCTCACTTTTCTTTCACGAACTTGACCCCCATTTCTAACGTGATACAGCAAATATCGTGTCACGTGTGACTGCGATAACTCGTATCACGTGTTACGCGGTGTTTAAGGGAACAATAAACGTCACCGTAACACCGTCACCGCTATGGGAGGGTCACTTGATGACTGACATTAAACGCTTCATATAATCCGGTAACTCGAAAGATCAAGAAAATGTCATACAGAATTACTCGCATTATATTTACCGTATTCACTTTATTTTTTAGTGTTGTTACTTATACTGCGAGTTAATAATTTTTATCGTGCGATAAAAAAATTTATTGTCCCAACGTGTTCTTCGCGATGAAAGAAATCGATAAGTCCTTTACCGTTTTTCGATCCGAAGCTTCATTTTCGAGATATCGAGCGAAGATCCGAGGGTGCGAGATCAGCTGATCGCGCCCCGGAAGTCCAGCGCCGGAAGTCGGCCACCGGAAGTCGAGCGCTCCATCTTCAATCGCTTGTATCTCGAAATCCACGCTTCAGATAAAAAAACTGTAAAGGACTTTTCGATTCTGTTTGATGCAAACAATTTAACTACTTGCACAAAATTGGTAATCCATTTATTTGCTTTATTTGCTAGTCTACTTATAAATTAATATCCTATTTATTCGAGCACATATTGTACTCGATATTCAATTCATACAAATAAAATATTTGCGGAATGTTGTTTGTTAAATGTTTAATTTGAATAACTCGAAAGAGAGACCTTTCAATTTCAAATTAATAAACTCGTAAAGAATTGGAAACTTTTTCCATGACGCATTAATAAAGACCAGTGACCTATCCAATGAATATTAATTAAATAACGGGAATGCCCGGTGATCTTTCGGGAATTTCGAATTTATTTTATCGCTTCATCCGCGTTACCTCGGATTACCGAGAAGCTGGAGTGACTCATACCTCTATTCAAAACCGGAAAACGACTCTGTCTGTTGTGCTGTTTAAAGTCTGGATTTAGTACGCGGAATAAAAATACACTTAGATAGGAGGCACGATATCGCGATAAAATTTCGCTCGCACAGATTGTAAACGCGTCACTGATTATAGCAACGCGAGTCGCTTTTGAATACTCGGTGAACGTTGCACGTGCTTCTCATGGTAATGCATCTTACATTTGCATAAATTCTGCTATAAAAAGATCGATAGAATTTAAACCTTGAATCCTACCATCTGATATTCTAAACTTGAAAGCTTTTTTAAGCTCGACATTGAAAGCCTATTTGAATTAAATATTTTTAAAAGTGCACAATTAATCACAGATTCGACATCTTCGTTTAAAGTGCTTTCGAAATTTGTTAAAATTTCTGCGGAAAAAAGTGCCATCAAAAATTAAAATAAATTATAAAATGTTTTAATTTAAATTTTAAAAAAGTGTCAAGATTTAAATTTGCTTTTTTAAGCTCGACATTGAAAGCCTGTTTGAATTAAATATTTTTAAATGTGCACAATTAATCACAGATTCGACATCTTCGTTTAAAGTGCTTTCGAAATTTGTTCAAATTTCTGCGGGAAAAGGTGCCATCAAGAATTAAAATAAATTATAAAATGTTTTAATTTAAATTTTAAAAAAGTTTCAAGATTTAAATTTGCTTTTTTAAGCTCGACATTGAAAGCCTGTTTGAATTAAATATTTTTAAAAGTGCACAATTAATCACAGATTCGACATCTTCGTTTAAAGTGCTTTCGAAATTTGTTAAAATTTCTGCGGGAAAAGGTGCCATCAAGAATTAAAATAAATTTTTAAATGTTTTAATTTAAATTGTAAAAAAGTTTCAATTTTAAATTCGCTTTTGGAGTACGAAAAAATATTTGACATGTTTTGTTAATACGGAGTTGATAATGAACGTGCTATTAGACTATTTTAATTTTGCGATTGAATCATGGGGAAGTCTGATTCATCCAGAATGATTTCCACCAAGTGATCGTCATCGAACTGCTCTGTTTACCACGAAGTCGCTTTGCGTCTTCCTCCAAACGGAAGCGACACTTGCAAAATATAAAGCAGGCCTACAAGTTTCTCAGTTCAGTCTCGCATTGATCCATCGTGTGTTTAGAGAGAAATAAAACCAGGAACGCAATGTTAAAAATGGTGATACGAAATTAAATAACCGATAATTCGTGTAATTATTTAAAGTTTAATTCCAGTGCTACAAACATTCTTTTTATAAAATTTAATATTTTGTGTTACAGACATTGTGTTACAGAAATGATATTTAAAATCGTTGTTATGTTTGTGTGTTTCAGTAAAATTTCACATAGCCCATTTATACGAAGTCCAAGGAAAATATCGTCTAGCGAAAGAGCATTACGAAGCCTTGCTCAAAGAAAAGACACTACCCTCCCACTTAAAGGCCGACATTTGCCGCCAGTTAGGTGAGTTCAATTTTTAGAATTCCTCAAATATATCTTCAAACCCGTTCATAAATTTCCCGCCAAATTCCACCGGCATGAAAAATCAAATTTTTCAATTAATCTCCGCGCAGCCATACGGAATCGCGTTCAAAAAATATCAGAGCCCTTTCCTATAGCCGTTTCATGATTTTCCAACTGCGCATCGACGCCACAAAAGCGCGGTTATTAAAAAATTCTTCAGCCCGAGCCATAATTGAACAATCCGCGGATCGGATCTTTCATTTATCCGCGATAACGCGTTGGCAACGTTCCCGGGGTCAGAAACACACTGTAGCGGTTGTGGTAGGGTTAATTAAAGCTATCCCCCACGAAATTGTTTTCATCGCGTCGTCGCGAGCTTTCGGCTCCTAGGATTCGGCTTAAGGCTCGGGCCGAGTGTACGAGCAAGTAGCAGACACGTGTATTGATTTATTCCGGGTTGAGGTGGCCTGGCGATGAGATGGGGTGCAGAGAGAGAAAGAGAGAGAGGCGGGGAG